TTCGGTAAGAAAATTAATTTTCTTTGTAATTTTATTTCATTTTCTTTCTTCATGGTTGATAGCACTGAAGTTTGCATAAAGTCACTTGTGGTGACTTATCAAATAACGTAACGATTCAGCCATGATAACTTTTCATAGTTAATAAATTAAAATTTACGAGTAGAATCATTCATTAGTATAATTATAGAAATTTACTAATGTTAACGGTTGAAATTTCTAATCAGTTCTTCCTTAATTACAATGAAATACAATTTTATGCAAATTTATTCTTTCTTTTTCTTTTTTTGTCATATAGAACTCAATGGTTTTCAAATCCATGTGCAAAAGGTTCATATTCATATGTACCTGTTGGTGCATCATCTTGTCAACATATTCATGATTTGGCTAAACCATTAACGGCTCATAATAAAGTAAGATTTATTCCTAAAGATAAGTTCCATTAAAATAAAAGATAGTATTGACATATATATATATATATATTTTTTTATGCTTAAAGTCCTTTTAGTAGTCTTTCAGAAAAGCAGAACCCGATTGATGGACAACACACGTTGACAAGGCGCAGGTAGACGATATCTTGGGATATTAATATCCATATTAACCTAAGAATTGTTGAATACGCTTGTTCTTCGGTTTTGTTGTTTATTTGTCTAGGTTCTGTTCGTATGATGACGATGTAGCAGATAAATAGGTCTGATTACAATTTTTATATATCTATTTCTTTCTTTTTTTATTTGATTTTTTGTCCTTTTATCTTTTCTTTTTTCGTTAAACAAATATATAATTTTTAGTCGCGAGTATTATTTGCGGGTGAACATACCCATACTCGCTATTACTCAACTGTAACTGGTGCATTTATAACTGGTCAAACACAAGCATTACAAGTAGCCCAACAATTAACTGCAAATAATGATACAGAAACATTAGTTAAATCAATTACCGATGATTTTAATAAAATTCAATGGAAACGTGAAGAACCACCCTGACAAACTCCCGTTTTAAGTCGTCGTCTGAAAATGATGACGACGACAAATGACGGTGCTGGTCAAGCACCAACGGTATCAATGACGAAACAAGATGTTGCCCCAAAACCAATCCGTGGTTTGACAACAAAAATCTTCTCGTTCATTACCGAATTGGTTACTCAGACCGTTCATTATTTGAAAGACTTTGACATATAAATTTCTTTTTTTTTTTTGTTTTGTTTATTCTTATGTTTTCAGAGTGTGGATATAGTTATCGCTCTTCTCTTTAGTGTGGTCTTAATTTAATCAAGCATATGCTTTTTTGTTTCTCTTTTCAATATTTACTCAATAAAATTAATCATTTAATCCAGCAATTAGATCAGTTTTTATTCTCGGACAGATAGGTTTGTTTTTTGCATATCAGTAGTTCTAGAAAATAATTTATTATTAAAAAAAAAAACGAACAAGAAAAAAAAACATTAAACAAAATTCGGTGGAAGCATTGAAGAAGAATAATTTAAAGAAAATTCTGTATTATGTTTTAATTCAATTGATTGAACCATTTCATGTGCTACATCGATTTGAATTGAACCAAAAATATCTTCAGGATTTTTATCATTAAAATAAATTTGATTAATAAATGCTAATTGAAGTTGACTTTCTAAATGATGAATAAAAAATTTTGTAGCTCAACAAAGACAAAAAAAACCTACTTCTAGCCCAACGTGGAATTTTTTTCGATCGTCGACGAGATATAGCTACATGTGTATCATCAAGTACATCATCATGAAATATAGTCATATCATAATTATTTGTTGAATCTGTTTTAAAACTATATTCTGAATTTGGATTAACTTCTCGGACAATATTAGATCTACAAAACAAACAAATAAAAAAAAGTAAAGAAAAATAAACTTACCCTTTGATACGTCGAAATCGACCACTCGATTGTACATGGTTTTGAATTAAACTATGAATAGGTGTTTTAGATTGAATAAGAGATGAAGATTTTTTAAATAGTTGACGGCGAAAAAATGTCTTGATTGAAGTATTTGAACGTTTTGGATTAGTTACGATGGATGAATTAGTAGAACGAATACACTACAAATATAATCATATAAATAGAAAACAAAAAATTTCATACAGGAATTACTTTTACTGGATTACAAAAAGCCATTGAAAATATTAGACGTAAATTGTTGATAAGAACGTTGACCGAGAAATGTTACTGAATAAGTCGAATATGTTTCCTTATATAGAGTAAATCTCATTTAGTTAAAATGGCTTAAATTTAGTTTAATCAAAGAGTTGTTCCAAATGTGGGATTGATCAATTAAATGACAAGCTAATTTTATATAATCGCTTTCTTCTTAATTATACATGTTTTTCGTTGATTAATTGAACGAAAGATATATATTCGTTAATTGAAAATGAAAGAAAAGAAAAAAACGAAAGCAAAAATATCAAAACGAAAAATTTCGAAACAAAAGTGATATTTCTAGTTAACGATGATTCTAAGCACATGTAATTTTTTTTTTCTGGATGGATGGAAATGAAGAGAAAACTCATCCTCACAACGACAACTTCGATTGCAGCAATAGTTGTGTTATCCAATGAATGTGAAATGAGCAAGCAAATATTTGCGTCGTATGTTTAGCGCAGAGGTGGGCAACTTAGAAATTTTTCAAATCTCAAGTCAAGTCAAATCACTAAAAAAGCATTTCGAGTCAAGTCAAGTCAAGTCGTACCCAAAAACTGTTTCCACCAAGTCAAGTCAAGTCAAGTCAGATCCCAAAATTTTTTCGACCAAGTCAAGTCAAGTCAAGTCATACCCAAAAAATTTTTCTACCAAGTCAAGTCAAGTCAAGTCAGACTTGACTTGACTTGACTTGAAAGCAGGGTATTTTTGACTTGACTTGCCCAGCTCTGGTTTAGCGTTATTTGGCGATTTGTTTTTATTGATTTTCAGAGAGTGGATTTATTCAAGAACGTCGATTTATCATATCCACAATCTCAAGGACACAATCCAAAGCACTTTTCGACCATTTTCCACTCCGATATTTTCACTTCGACCTTTCTACAGTCAACTGAATAATTTACAGCATTAGTAAAAAAAAATGATTTATTAAGGGCCTCGCTTCGAAGATCTAACTTTAACAACGTACATAAGATATTAATGAAACGTTGCATAGATGTTCAGGTCATAGAAGTACATTAATAAAAGAAGTTCATAGCTCCATACCTAACCGTTCAGAAGTTTTTCAGAAACCAAGCTGCAAAACAGGGCTTTCTACAAAAACTTAGAGTTTACCTAGCACTATCAATTAATTAGAAAATTCATTTCCGAATATATTTATTTATTAAAAGAGAACACAGTTCTCTAAAATGAAATATATTAAGAAAAAAATTTCTCTGCAGTTCTATCATTACTGAAAAAAATCAATTTTGAGAAAAACGCAAACGAAATTTTTTCTTTTATATAGTCTTCTTGTCATTACTTAAAATAAAGATGAAGCATAAATATATTGCATGTTAATCGAAATATTTATCTATGTACATTAGATTTTCTTCATACGAGATACATCGCGATAGATAATGGTGCCTACCATTCAACAACATAATAAACACAGACGGATAACAAATTAGTTTTTTTTAATTTAACTTGTGAAATTAGGATTGGGTGCATGTGAGCGAAGAGAAGATATATATACTCACATCCTTAAGTCATTGAGAATTTCAAAAGTCTGTCTCTAAGATGTGCAAGATTTGATTTCCTCTGAAAAATATTTGTCTATTTTGTCGATCTAATTCTACCAAAAGAAATTTTGCTGATTGCTTTAGACATCATTATTTGTCCCGATAGTTTCAAAAGTCATTCATAAAACTTTCCAAAACAAATTCGAGAATCAAAAGTATATTTATAAATTTGTACACTAGACAATTCATGGAACATGTTTATATATTTATTTCAAAAATCATTTTTTTTTTGACTAAAATAGAATTTTCTAAAAGCGGATCCTTAAGTAAAGAAAAAGAATAGAATCATTCAAATATATATTTAGATAAAATATTGCTTAAAATTAGATAATAGATGTGTGTGCAGGCGTAGATGTGAGTCTTATAATCTCACACTCACATATATCTGCAGTCTTTTTCCATTCAATTTTTCTATCGATTCTTCAATAAAATGTTCGATCGAATAGTCTACATTCATTCGATGTTCACTATTATTAGAAGGTCAAATGAAATATTCCCGATAGATTAAAAGTTGCATCTGAATTACTATGTAATCAAATGATATCCACATTCAATAATAGAAATCTATGAAGATACAATGGTGAAAAATCTGTTGTACATATTTGATTGATTATGATGAATAAGACAATGTAACAAAGACAAATCGATTGTACTTAAAATCTCTATCGATATTTTTATTCTTTGATCAAAGTTAAGATCTATCTTGAAATTACTTTCTATGCTTTTAGTACAATAATAATCTTTTCTAAATATGATTATCAGATGTTTTCATTTTCATACAAATTAATATTATTAAAACATAATTAATCATAGAAAAGAAAAAAAAAGCCATGATCGTAATTTATATTTCAAACTGTCTTGATTTTAATATACGGTATTGAAGTAATACAAAAAGAAAAAAAAAAGAAAAAGAAGCCAAAGTAGAACATGCATTATAGGAAAACATCATACTTAGGTTGCGTACAACAAAAGAGAAACACATAAATCTTTTTCAAATTTGGTTATGCATTTTTTTTTCTGATAAAAATCTATATAATACATATATATATATAGATTAATGTGAAGAAAATCAATTAATCTGACCGGTTCAATTGGTTGGTATTTATATATATATATATATAATCAATAAATAAATAAAAAACATCTTCGAACATTATATGAAGACAAAAAATGAAACGAAGAAAGTAGAAGAAGACTAGGTTCATAGTTTATTTTCGTTTTTTGTTTTTTATTCTAATTATTGACGAAAGACAGTCGGGTGAATGTCATTAAATTGTTGAATTATTTCCATATTTTAACAACAGCATCACATGAAACAGTTATTAAATAAGGTGTGCGTTCTTTTGACATAACTAATTGCATTGATGTAACTGTATCGGTGTGTGCTGATGGAATATTAGCACTTGATTTTGTTGTTTTAATTTCTGTTGTTGTTGTTGTTGTTGCAGATGATGATGATGATGATGTACTTGTTAATTGTGTTACTGTTGGTGGTGATGCTGGATGTTTACGTTTATGATATTCTTCAATAGTTATTTCAACACCATCAATTGTTTTTGGTTGATAACGAGCTGTTAAAAGATCATCATCAGCTGGTCCTCGACATACAATATATGATCGTAATGGTTGAGTTAAATTCCAATTTCTTATCCGCATATCTGTTCCAGCACAAAGTAATGATATAGCTCCATCATTTTTCCATAAATACATTGATGCAATATAATGATTAAGTGACTAAACAAAAAGAAATTTATCAAAAATTTTGATTTTGTTTTTTTGCAAACCTGTGTTAATGAAAGTGGTGTTACAGGTGATGGCCAAAAAGCTTTTTGTCGCGTTTGAGGTTTATCAATATTCCATACAGCCACTTCATTATTACCTTGAAATGAACTAATTAAACTACTCGGTTGATCTTGATGACGAAGTAGACTTATAACACGTGCACCTGAAAATGTTTAAAAAACCAAAATCAAAAAATTTTCTATTCTTTTGTTTTTTGTTTTTTACCTGTTGGATGTCTAATTCCTTGAATACACAATTGAAAACGCATATCCCATATATCAATAAATCCACTACCAGTACCTACAGCTAACCATGATTGAAGTTCATCAATTTCAAATGCAGTTATTAAACCTAGAGAAAATAAATAAATAAATATTAAGAGAAAGAAAAAAACAAATTTTTCTTTTACGATGATTTAAATCATTTTTAAATCGAAAAATAGGTGTTGAACATCTTGTATCAATTCCAACAATTAAACCTTGTGATGTAGCTAATGCTAAAATATCTTGTGAACCAGTATTAAAATATTTTAAATCAATTGGTACACCAATATCATTAACATCTAATTTTAAATTATAAAATGATTCACGAATATCAGTTGTTGAAGAACTAAGACTAAAAAAAAGAAAAAACAGATTTTTATTTTTTGTTTAGATAAAGAATTTAATTTTTGTTTACTCATATATATTTAATTGTCCATTTTCATTCAAAGAAGCAAGATTTAAATTATTATCCGATGTAAATGCTAAACCTCGAACAGCTGATGCTAAAAAGAATAGAATTTGTTAACAACATTATATAAATGCAAATTATTAGATCTATTCGATAGATAAGTCATAAAATCATTTAAGCTTACTTCTGTCAGAAACCTATTTTCGCTCCAGAACAACCAATCTATCCCAAACTATCAGAAAGTAGCTGGAAGGCCTATAGTAAAAATTTCAACTCAAAATATTGAATTATTCTAATATTAAGAGTAAAATAGTAGACCTCCACGTCTTAGGGAATTGTGGGTTTACGTATTTGTGGATCCGAATCCGTGTCCCAGATTTCTCCTCCAAATATAGTGATACAGACGTTGGGTTGACGTCAAAATGTAGTTAACATTTGTTGTTGCAACTTAACAGAAATCAGTTTTTAAAGAATCTCTGTTTTTTTTTGCTTTCGATGCTAGTTTTTCGAAAAAATTGAAGATGCTTCTATGGAGAAAAGATTTATTTTTGTTTAAAAACTAAATCGAAAATGAAAAATTCGGTTCTGTTAGATTGTAGAGCACAATTTCCTCTTCAATTTAAAACTTTTCCGAGTTTTATATCATGTAAAATGGTATACTAACATACATCATACACAAGTCAAGATATGACCAAAAAAAAGAAAGGAATAATAGTATCTTTTTTTTTCGTTTAGCAACTGTAAATGACACACTATCTAAATATTACATCATCATTGATAAGATTTATCTTATTCATTTTTGTCTCAAATACTATATTAAAATTTTTACCTGTTCCACGAATAGCTCGTGATGGTCGGAAGATAAGAGATTTTTGAAATTGATTTATATCCCATAATCGAATAGCTCCTTTTGTATCACCGGTAGCAAAAAGTTGCGTATAATTAAGTGATGGAGAAACAAGACTTGATGCTAATCTTTTAAAAATTTGATATTTGAAATAAATTTTGATTTTTTTTGTTTTTGTTATTTAAAATCTTACTTTGTAATTTTGCCATTATGTAAATGAATATGACCAAGAAGAATACCTTGTGGTGTCCAAAGTTTTTGATCAGATATTTCATAAACATTTGTTGGTACACAATGTTTAACTAATTTAGTACGTTGACAATCTTCACGATAGATAGCTTCATGTTTTAATAATAAATTATTTTGTTCAGTTAAACATTGTAATCGAAGACCTTTCAAGAAAAATAAAAATTAAGATTTAACTTCTTGAGGATGAGGTTACTTTTAAGAAAAAAAAGGACATTTTCGATACTCTAATGGGAAATACACCTTTGGGCAAAAGTTCTTCTCTCTCACTGCTTTTTCAAAAAGTTTTTAATATTTGCTTTCTTTTTATTGTAGGACTAAGGTGTAACAAAGGTATTTTATTTTAATATGATATATAGTCACCATTTGCTTCGATCAAGCATTATTCTCATCTTTTCATACTATCGACCAATTTAACAATCAAATCGATTGACAAAGTGTTCCAAGCCGTCCTTATTTCTGGTTCCAACTCTTGAGTTATTTGAATTTTCGTCTTTTGACTTATTGTATCCTTCATCGTCAACCAAACATTATCAATTAAGTTTTGGTCTAGTGATGAAGAAGGTCAATATAGAAGGTGAGTTCTTTCAGTTGATCGCCAGACGCCATTTGTACTTATGATCATTGTTTTCTTGAAAGATCCAGCTAGCTGAATCTTCGGAAAATTGACGATGAGTAATAAGTAGAAGAGCATTCTCATATATGCTGCACATAAAGTTTTCTGTCGAATTGTGTTTGAAAGTAATTAATTGTCCGAAACGTTGTTTTAAAACACATTCTTGGATATACAACTTGAGAGAATATTTAACTGTGCGAACAATTTTGGTTACATCTGGAAATTGCTAAACTTTTCTTCCGTTGTTGCCAAGTTTGAATGTCTTCTGATCGACAGAAGTCATGTTGTCTTAATTGAAATTTTGGCATTGTCGTTGCTCACGATGTTTGTCTGTGAGTAAGGACTTTTTTAAAGGTGGATCATAACTTTCACTATTTTCACGTAATCGACGTCTAGCAGTACTTGGATTTATATTCACGCCGTCCTTTTTTAGAATCTTTGAGATATCCTTTGATGTAACGTTCAGTTCATGTTTGGCAATATTAACAATTTTTGTATCTGTTTTCTACGACGTGACATGTAGTGATTGTCCAATTCTTGGTAAATTAGACAGGTCTTCATATTGTTGCTATCTGACAAGTCAATGCCATACAGCTTTTGGTCCAAATTCAATGTACTTCGAACTAGCTTTATTTGACATTTAAGGACGCAGTGGATGTAGCATGAGAAACAAAATTCATGGCGTTGTGATAAAGAAAATAGTATGTTTAAAATCTTACGAAAGGATAATGAAAAAACCTATTCTTGACATCGATTCATATTGTTTCATATTAACAATTGTTACATAAGATTGGATCATCTAAATCAACGAGTAAGAATATTAGGAACGAGAAGCACTATTGTATAGAACTGTATTTATGTTACACATTACTTTGCTAATAAAATGAAAGCAAATATTAGAAGTTTTAAAAAAAAAGTGGAAGGTGGAAACGACGCCCTCTAGTGCTCTTCGGAGTACAAGAAACATGAGAGTACAATAGATGTACAGTTTTATAACTAAGAAAAATCTCGACCTGAATCCGAGAAAATAACGATTTAGGTCTTCTCTTCAGTCACACCGGCACTCTCACACTACGAATGGCAGTGTAACAGACTGACGATCTGTGTACTACTACACATCATAAGGAGTATGCCTAAATTAATTAGAAGTTAATTCGAAACCGGACTTATATACGTTTCCTATCTTTGGTGGATCAATGAAACATATGAAAACCTGTTCGTATAGTTTTTGATGATGGTTCAAGAAAAACATGTGGTCGATGTTGTGTTATATTTTCTGTTGATGGTAATTGATATTGTATTGTATCAATTAACATAGCTTCATCATTATTTTCATTTATTGTTTTATCATTTGGATTGATTGTTAAATTAGTTGGAATATTTTCTTCTTGATTTCCAATTTGCATTGTTACAGCACCGAACATTTCTGACCAATCGGACTAAAACATAAAAATTTATTTAAAAAAAAAATTTTTTTTTTCTTTTTATTTAAAATAAATATAATTTACAGCATCATTATTAATATTTCTTGTTGAATAATTTTCATTGTTAGTTCGATTTATATTTAAACTTAAATCAAGTCGTCGTCCTGGTGGAGTTTTTATATAAACTGTGCCTGGTCGAGTTGTAGTTTCAGTTGATGCACTTATACTAAATAAAACGAAACATTTCATATACATATATAATATTTTATGTTTTATTTTTGTAATCTTACTTTAATTTATATTGTGGTGTTTGTTTAACAAAAAATTTTAATGCTAAAATTTTATCTTCATCTTCTTCTTTCATTCCTAATTCAGTTAATTTTTCAAATGCCTTTGAAAAGAAAATAATTTTCATTACAATACAAACAAAAAAAAAAGATATTATCTTACATCACGAACAATAGGATCAGTAGATTCAACATAAGCTGGTTTTAATCCACTACCTGTCATTTGTCGAACATTAGATCGATCAGTTAAATATCGAAATAAATTTTCATTTGGTTGAATTTGTTGAACATACTCAAATAATTCACGTGATAATGGTTCTATCAAAGCATTATATAATATATCCTAAATGACAAATAATATATTATACACTTTTCTATCCATTTTGAAGCAGATTTCATCGTTATCCTTTTCCTTAATCCTTCAGAAATGCAATAAAGAAGTAGTTTATATATATTATAACGAGACGTGATTGATATAAAATCTGTAGAGAAGGGTACAAATGTCGATTGTGTTTTATAAAAAATACTAAATTCACAATATTCATGATTTTTAACTTTTGCGTATAGATTTTTAAATGTTCGAGTCAATCAACTTAAATTTGTGCTACTCATAGAATACTTATGAAGGAAGCTCTTCAACTGTCGGATGCTGTTCGATCTGATATTATGACTATGAGCAGATCTCTGTAAGACTAAGAAAAGTTTACCAGAATTCGGGCACATGGTCTACTGATGAAGAGCTATGGCTATTGTATTGAATTTTTCGTCAGAACATGTCGTTGTTGAAAATATTAAAATCAAGAATTTTGTTCTGAAATATTGTCTATAGATACAGCTAGTAATCATTAAGAGTTCTATTTGTAGTCATAATATCAGATTGCAATAGCGGCCGACCATTGCGAAATGTTCCTTCATCAGTACTTTTCAAAATTATTAAAATTTTATTTTGTATGAAACAATTGTTTGCAGAATTCAGTGAGATAGGACAAACAGGGTTTTTCGGAATCCAGGGCAGCTTTGGATGTTTTTTCTTGAACTGATTCCATCTCCATTAAGTATATATCCTACGTATTTCAATCTGTTATTGTCATCATCTCGAAAATTCTCTGTAATATTAAAATATAACTGACTGCTGAAAATTCCAGTAGTGAAGTCTGAACCGATATATCGGATTAAGTTGGCTACATATCTACTTCCAGAATTCTATTTTTTGTATACGCCTGTAAAGATATTTTATTTTATAACATACAGCATTTCCAACTTGAACAATTGGAAATTTAAAGAATCGTTCAATCACCGGTATAACAAATCCATGTACATCAGCTAAATGAGACTTTTCACAAATACTATTAATAAATTCAATAACACTTAATCGAAGCCAAAGATTCTAAAAATGAAAATAGAATCAATAAATAACCATCTATATGAATAATAATAGGAAAAAAAAAACAATTTCTTTTCATACTGGATGACAAACAAGTGGTGCAACTTGTCGAAGAAATTCATAAATTGTTTTACGTTTTAATAATGATAAACGAACAAAACAAGCAAGTGCTTTTAATACCCGATAAACAACAAATTCTTCTTCATCAATTAATCCCTTTAAACATAAAAAAATTAATTAAAAAAAAACTTTTATTTTTCAATAAATTATTTATTCAAACTTGATTTAATAATGGTAAAATAAATAATTCACTTTCAAGTCCAATATATGAAGCAACAGTAACAAGACTATCAAATAATGTTGCACGTAAACGCCAATTTGGTTGACTTAATAATGTAGTTAAATGTCCACAAATAACTTCAATCGCTAAATTATTAAGAAAACAAAAATCACGAATTGATTTCCATTTTTTTTTTTAAATTACTTTTTCGTTTGCCAAAAAAAGTACATAAACGTATAAGATCCGATCGACAAACAGCTTCAGCTAATTGTCCATTTTGATCATCATTTTCACCATGTATTAGATCACCGAATTTACCTTGCATCCATGTTTGAACACTTTTTAATTCTTCTTCATAAAGTTTCTATTCGACAAGAAAAAAAACAAAACAAAACAAAGAATTTTCTTTTATGATATATAAATAATTTTACTTACAAAATGATCATTATTTATTGTATGATTTCGTTCTTCAATTAAATAAGTTTTCTCTAAAAATCTATATGAAAAAATAAAAATGAACAAGAATTTTTTTAATATAGAATAATTCGAGTTTTTGTTTTGTTTTTTTTTTTACCTTAATGAATGTTCAGCAAGTAGAGATAAATATTTAGCAAGATTTGATCGAACATAACAATCATCTTGAATATTTGCTGTTGACTAGATAAATAATAAAATTTAATAATTTAATAATAAATATAAAGAAGAATTTATTATTTTTTTTCTTTACCAATGTTGGAAAAAGATATTCACTAAAAAGATCAGCATTTTCTTGATTTATATTTTTTACAGATGATATGGCAAAAACAAGAGTTCGAATAGCATCAGCTCGCACACGATGATAATCGTCATGTAACATGGCATTCTAAAGTAAAATAATTCGATTAAGATACTATTACAATAAATTTTATTCAATACATGCTAATAATTTTCACAAGTCTCTTTTTTTCACAAAATTTTTCCTATCATCGACATGAACAGGGCGAAAATAAGCAAAGCATTAAAAAAAAAGGCAAATATTCATATAATGCGAAAATTCGATACATTTTCATATGCATTTCCATAGCTGTAAAAGTTCAGTTTCCTACTCTGATGATAATTAGAACTACTAGTAATTCAATACCAACGTCTATTACGATAAAAATGAATAAGAGAATCTCGGTAGATACAAAGAAACTTTTTCTCTAATAAATGGAAGACTCTTGAATAAATATGGGCAAGATGATCTTGGTTCTGGCGGCACTGGGATCGGAACCAAAACGTTTTCTGAGTGAGGTCGGGACCTAAAATTCTCCCAACCGGAGCCGAGACCAAATTTTTTTCCGACCAGTGCCGGGACCGAAGCCGTCTGGTCTTGGTCATGTTTACTCTTCACGAAATGTCACTTGAAATGAATGTATTTTCTATTGTTTATTCTAATAAAATAAATTCATCTTACCACATAAGGTAAAATTCGATCGAGTATAATTTGATCATCAACAAGAGGGATCATTAAGCGTAAAAGTTCAAGTGCGACAAGTCGAGAATGTAAATGCTAAAACAAAAATAGAAAAGATCCATAAATCTAAAAATTTTTAAATATTAATGTTTTAAAATCATACTTTTAATTTTCTCATACAAGATAAAGCAAGTGAAAGAAGTATTAATAAACATTGTGATGATTCTTGAGTTTTTTCTTCATCAATTTCAATTGAATTCTCATTTGTATTATTATTTTCAATAAGTAAACTATTGATTATATATGAAAAATCTCGATGCAATCTAAAGATACAAAATAAATTTAATTAAAAATAATGTTTTTTTTTTGTCTTTGTTTCTTCATACTTATAAATTACAAAATCTGGTGAAAATTCTTTTAAAATTTTTTGTACATATGGTAAAAGAAATGTATAAAAACAAGATGGAAATCCTTTGCCTGTTTGTTCATCAAGATATTGTTCAGCAGTATGACGTTTCAATGGATCACGATCAATCATACTTGCAACCATTGCCTTAAAACAAACAAAAATTGAATCTCAATAATATATTCGTTAGAAAAATAAATAAATATAAATATTCACCCGTATATCAACATCAACTATTTTATTAACAATTGGCATTGGATCATAGCTATTAATTCTATAATCAAGCATTTGTGTTAAAGTAAACAATGGTTGTTCAGTAAATAATTCTGCTAATATACAACTAAACAAAAAAAGAAGTTTTTAATAAAAAAAAAAACCCTTTTTATTTTAGATGATCTAACCCGAGAGAAAAAATATCCATTGCTGAAGTACCTAGTTTCCCAAAGCTAGTCGAAAATGTATCATTATTAATATCATTTTTCATTCTTGTTTGATCATAAAAACGTTCTGGTGCTAAATAACATACATTTCGTTGTGATGCATTAAAATAATAATAATACTCAGCTGGATCTTCCTAGAAAGTGAAAAATAACAAAAAAATTCCTTTCTTATTTAAATACAAATAAGCTTTTTTTTTTAAGATGGCCAAAAATTTTAATGATTTTTTTTCTCGATGATTTATAAATAGAGCTCATCAAACTATATAAAAAGATGTACGTTTAAAAATTTCTCTTTTATTTATGTACACAAAAATAACAAACTCACAATATTGAGATAAAACTGATTTTCTTTTTATTCTATTCTAACACAATTGGAAAATTATTATTTTTGTAATCGCTATGAAATACTGACTATAAAAAACGTAATATTCGTTTTACTTGGAGTATAACATGATTGATTTGTTTTCTCTACATTCAAACGATCATTCAACCATTGTTGACAATGTTGCTTGTAAATCTATTTAGTTCTTTTTTTTTGACAAGGTATGAATTCGAATCAGTATCAAAGAAGTCACAAAATGTATGCATAGACTTTTTCAAAAGATTTATATGAGGAAATGGCAAAATGATATTTTCGATCTTCAAAAGACATTATTTATTGTCAGAAAGCTTTTGTTCATACAAAAATAAACATTATATTCATAATTAGTATAAAAAATTGAGTTTAATAACCTATTTTCTAATAGAAATAATATTCTTTGCAAAAATTGTCTGTAGTCTCCTCGGTTCTTTATATATAAAAAATCTTCCTGAAAGGAACCATAAGAAGAATTTTCTTAGAAAAATTAATTGTATCACAAAATATGCCATTTGACATAAATTTTTCTGCTGATTGCGAATATGATGGTTTTTTTTGTATGAACAAAAACTTTCTAACACTATATAACGCTTTTCGGAGATTGAAAATATCACTTTGCTATTTCTTCATACAAATATTTTGAAAAAGTCTATTCATATCTTTTATGACTTCTCTGATGCTAGTTTGAATCCATACTCTATCAAAAAAATCTAAATAGGTTTACAAGCTACAGTAGCAACATGGATGGATTATCCATTGAACGCAGAGAAAAAAAATCAATGAAGTTATACTATAAGCAAGACAAAATGTGGTTCAAATGAACTAGAAAGTTTTAAACATACATTCTCTCATGCACATGATTTACTGTCCGTTGATTATTTCGAAGAGAAATGAGCAAATGAATAGTTAGTGCGACAATGAATATATTGTCAGAACAAAAATATCAATAAATTTTCCTAACATAATATAACACTGTGTACTATTAGTTATTTCGAAGATTGACATTTTCGATTGAAAAAAAACACATGTAAATTCTTCTCATCCAAACATTTACATTGCGATTGATTTACTGAGAAAATAACAATCGTTAGTATCAGTTGCAAGAATACGAGATGACATTGGACGCTCTAACTCTAGAACATCGGAAAAATAAACTCACAAAAGATGAATGTTTAATGAAATGAGAGCAATGTTATAATGGTCATATTGATATTCCAGCATTCTCGAAAGTTACTCGATTGAGATATTTTTCAACATCCATTAAAAAGTTAGACAACCGTCTCTCTTTGTTTTTTTGTTATTTCTTTGCATATTTATTAGAACTTTTTCTATTCTTTTTCTGACAATATATTGATCTCCTCAATGACTACGTATTTTCTAATTTCTCTTCTTTCGAATAATCAACGGAAAGTAAATCCGTGGATAACAGACTTGAAACCGGTAACTGGCAAGTCAGGCAGTTCGGTTCCAAGTATAGTGGATAGTAAATCGTGTAATCCGCATTATCGTATTCAGTTTGATGAGCTCTTTCGAACTCTATATAAATCAGCAAGCAAAAAAATTGACTTAAAAGTTTCGAAACTCCGATCAGTTTACTTACATAAGCAAAAAAAGTTGGTTTAAAATTAGCAAAATCACTTAATAAAACCCAATTATAACTTGTTAATAAAATATTTTCTATTTTTAAATCCCCGTGTGCTATATTAACATGATGTATATGTTTAAGAGCAATTAATAATTGATAAGCAATCCATTTTTTTTCAATACGTGTTAAATAAGGACGTGTTTGTAAACGATAAAATAAATTATCTTTTATATATGGACGTGTTAAAATAATTGAACGATCATTTTTCTAATTTTGTTCAAAAACAAAAAAAGAAATAAACAAATGAAACAAAATAAAATAAAAAGGCCTACAGCAACAATTTGAAATGGTAGACAATTTTTTAATGGTGATGGTGATGATTCTTTTTCATGAAGAATTGAATAGATTTCTTAAAATAAAGAACAAAAAAAAAGAATATATATGATTTTAAAAGAAAAAAAATTATTTTATTTGATAAACCTTGTATTTGTGCCTTGTATTGATCGTATGGAAGTGATTGATCAACAATTTGAAAAATTTTAAGCACACAATAGCCATTTCTTAAAATAGATAAATATGAAAAAAGAAGTGAAGAGTAATAATTCATTTTTTACCTTGTTTTTGCTCTGGCAACTTTTAAAAAACGAGTAACACCCAAACTAAAAAAAAAAAAGTATCAAAAGAATTATAGGACATTCTCAAGTGTTGAAAATATCGGTACATTGTATGCGAGATTTCCTTAACATGATGTATTAAGTTTTTCTCAATACATTTGTTAATGTCGTACTTGGATTTATCAAACGTGCTTATACCGATGTCTGTACTTCGTTTATGCACTTGATAGTTTCGTTTCACTCTCTCTATCACGTCAAGTATTATACAAATAAATCGAACTCATACAAGCACAGAATTTACAATATGGAAGATTAAAGTTTTCGATTTATGATGAAATTCTATTTATTTTGTTCTTCTTTTTTATAATGATATTCTGTGGCAATAATATTATCTTTATTAAATATAAAGCAATCAAGACATACATTTTACGTAAGATGATAGAAAAAAATTTAACAACAACGTATTTTTAATTTTTTTCTATAATGAAGATGCTTATAACTTTTTAAGAGAAGATTGTAGAAAATGCGGCGATCTTTCATTTTGTGCTCTTTAAAATAGCATTGTTAAAAAATAATTTTCTTGGATCTGAAAACTACTATGTCCAATTTTTTTAGAAACCCTGATACCATAGTCCATCTAGTATAGAACGCATTTGATAGAAAATTCCGTTGGCTATTAAGATCACTATCTGGATGTTATCTAATTATTTAACATTGTGGAAAAAAAGCAAAAGCGTATTATTGTTAAAATTTTTTCATCAGCTTATATGTCAGTATTAGATATGTGCATAACTAAGTTTTTTTTGTCCTAATCTAGAAAAGACTATTTCAGAATTTATTCGTATTACATCTAAAAAAATTCTTCAATACTCGATTTTTGATTTATTTAGTCAAGCGCTAGCACTTTTTTTGAATCATCTCTTTTAAATTATGTTATAACTGATATAATTTATTAGTTAATTCGCTTTAGACCATAAAATGTTTAACTTCCGTTGAGACAACTTTCTCATAGTCCCAGTTCCGATCTCGGTAACTTTTCTTTCCCGGAGTCTCGATCCCAGGGCTAAAAATTAGTCCCTACACATTTCTAATCAGTATTCAATTTTATATTTTATCCAGTTATAACCAGATTCGAGATTAAAACAACTATAGATAAGTTTATTCTTCAATAAAATTTCTGTATAAAAGCCCTTCATAATCTTTTCAATCTAATTAAACTTCATTTTCCAATGAAATCATACTAATTACTTTTTAACATAGTCATATCCAATTAAGTCATTGAAGTAGGTTTCAACGTTAAGAATCTGATTAGGTATATGTGCAATTTGATTTCCCATCAACAAACAATCATGATCTAAAATAAAACCATGATAAAAGAAAAAACAATAAAAATAATATTTCAGGTCATATAGAAAACAACAAATTCAAAAAAAAAAATTATCCTAAATTAATCATCTATTATATCCTGTCACCGTTGATCGTTCACATCCTAAAACATAATAAGAATCCATCAAATTTCCATATAAAAAAATCTTGTTTTTTTTTCCTTCTTACTTTTGGTACAACAAAAATCCAATCTTTCATTCTTGGTTCAACTATAATTTGACATGCAAGTCGTGATGTTGGTGTTAAACCAAATGCTAAATCTAACATATCATTTTCTTCTTCAACTGGTTCTGGTAGTGTTTTATAATTTTCACTATCAAGTACAACATGACATGTTGAACAAGCAAGTGTACCTTCACATGCTCCAAATCCATCAATATCTAATTTATTATCCAAAACAACATCAAGCATATTTGAACCTATTTTAGCTTTAGCATTAATTAATTTTTCATCACGATCTATGATTGTAACATTAATATAATTATTTGAATTAGATGAGTATCGTTTTAAAAATAAATTTTGATTAAATATGGAACGTATTATTAATCGATACATTTTTTTTTGTTATTTTTATTTCATCTAAAAAACAAAACAAAACAAAACAAAACAAAAATTCTTTAAATTCTTTCTTTCTTTATCAAAATAAATTATTTTCATTTTGATCAAAATTTGTTATTTCCATAGATTTTGTTTTTATAAATAAATGTTCATATTGTTTTTTTAATTCTTTAGCTTGTTCACTTATTTCAGTTGAACGATTATCATGTATCATTTCATCGATATTAAATTGAAGAATATTTTTAATTTGTTCATTTTCATAAAAACATATTGAATATTGTGAATTTTCAAATAAAATTTTTAAAAATTTAAGTATTTCACGTTTTAATCCACTAGATTTTGTACGTGGACCTAAATTAAGAATTGGTTCAATTAAATATATTATATCCGAAGAAATTATTGTTGAACGTTTTTGTAAAATTTCATTTAATGATTGTATAACAATTAATTGTATTTGCCAATTTGAACGAATAATTATTTCAATAAGTAGTTCAAATGTTAATTTTTTATATGAAGATTCTATTTGAGATGTTTTTGGCCAAAATCTTGGTAAACATTCAATTAATATTCGATTATATTTATCGGATATAATTGGATCTTCATCACTATCTTTTTTATCTTGTTCTTCATTTGGATCCTCAAAAAAAGAAAAGATACAGAATAATATTAAACCCTTAGGCACTATCAATTTTTATTTTATATTCAAATCACATAATATCGAGTTGAAAATTTCATGCAATATGAATATTCCTAGTTCAAAATTAATTTCATGTAGGAGAGACTCTCAAAAACAAATATATTTACCGTTTGTTTAAATGCTTTTTCAAACCATGTCCAAAATAGTTCATATACTTGAAAATTATATTCATCAGCAAGTAATGATAATACACGTAAAGCCACAGATCGATATTTAAGTGATTGTTTTTTACATTCTTTAAGAATATTTTCATAAATACGTTGAACAAGATCAGAAGAACTTTTTAATGAATCTCTAAAAATAAAACAAATAAGAAATTTAACATATCTCATAACTCAACCAGACAATTGTCATATATATTCAAAATTAAAAGAAAAAACATAACGAGAATATATCATGACAAATAATTTTCTCAAGTATGTTTTAATAACATCTGAAATATTTAGAAGCGAGTAGAATCCGTCAGATCTGTTTCGGATTTAGTCAAGTCCGGATCTGCAAATTTTCTGTTAACTAGAACCGGCTTCGAAAGTTTTAGATCCAACGGACTTTAGTAGCTAGTGCACATTCATACCCAATGTTCTCTCAATCATTGAAATACACAAGTATGTTTATTTTAAAATTGTTCATAGGATTCGAAATAATTCTAGAAGAAAATTTCTTTTTAAATATGTTTGATATTGAAATAAACAATATTGTTTTTTTTTCTCGATGATTCGAAGGATTAATTAGATCAAAAGTACGGATTATAAAAATTTATATACATTCGAACAGATAAGGATATAATCATTTTTCTCACGAATTTTTTATTATTTTATAATTTACAATACAAAAAAAAAAAATCTTCTAAATACGAATTTGAGTCTCCGGAAAATTTTTTTAATTATTTACGATTATTAAATTTATATTATAATAAATACTTACTTGCAACATGTACAAATTGTTTCAATAGCTTGAAGAAAATATTCCTATCATAAATAAAAATAATATATTGATTAAAAAGAAAAAAAAAAGATATATATTCATTCTTACTTTTCCTTCATAAACTCTTCCATAAAGTCCTTTTAAAAGTAATTCAACTAAGACAAATAAATATTCATTATTTAAATTAGTTTTTAATATTTCTCCAATCATTTGTATAGCACGTGCACCTTTTATTTTCATTGTATATGAATTATGTTCAATAGCTAAACGTATATTATCAATAATTCCTTTAATATATGTTTGAATTCCAGTTATTGAACTTCCTGTATGTTCAATCCATAAATTTTTCCATATAAATTCTTCTTGTTGTTCATTATCATCTTTAATATTTGATAAATTTTCTTGCATAGCTAAAAAAATTAATGGTAATATTTGTTGACCAAATTCTAAAAGTATATCATGATTTGATTGTGATATTGAATTAAGTGTTAATGCACAAACATATTGATAATCATTATCAGTTTGATAATACCATGTTGAAATTTTTTGTAAAAGATTTTCAATTGATGAACGTTTTGCTATACGTACAATTGAACCTAATACATTTGTATAAGTTTTTCTTAATGTACGATTTGAATTAATACTCATTGTATTAACTAATATAGCCATCCATTTACCAACATATTTTGATGAAATCTTTGGATATAAATTACTTAATGTTATAAAATATTGTCCAATAAGACATTTTGTTGTTAAACCAATTGAATGTTTGATTGTTTCAATTAATTTTCCTGATAGATCATCGAATATATTTTCATCAACATATTGATTTGTACATGTATTTATTGCATCCATTATTGGTGATGAACGTGCACAATGTAAACGTGCTACATCAATTTGTTCTTTCATTTCAGATGCTGATAATTTCATTGAAGCATAATTAAATATATCAGGTTCAATTGATGATAAAGCTTCAAATAGAGCTATGATTATTACAGTACAATATGGTTTTAATGTATCACGATCACCATAACGAATTATTTCGACTGAAAATAAAAAATAAAAATACTAACACGATTGACTAATGAAGAAAGAGTATAGGACAGAAATTTGGACGCTTTCCCTCACAGACTGTGAAAGATATTCCATCAAAGACCGTATGTCAATAAACTTTCATTATAATTCTTTATTGTATTTCTGGAGAATTAAGAAGATCCACTCAGAACGGACTGTTTGGGTTGAAATTTACAGGAACGAGTAGCCCTAGTAACAAACGCTCATGGTAAAAAATTTCAGGCCGATATGTTATGCTAGATCGAACTTCTAGTTTGTTTATGCGGTTTCCAGGAGAATCGTATTAAGAGGTACAATGCTTAGGTTGGTTTCAAATTAAAGCTAACTTTTGTCCGAACAGAATTTTGAAATTCCCTTCCATTCATTTTTTATGAGCATTTTAATAGAGATGATGTTCAAATAAGTACAAAAAACAAAAGGTAATCCTCACGACACTTAATTCCACTTTTCTCAAGTCAGAAATCCAATATAAAAAATCTGGTTGAATAAAAGTTTACTCTTATTGAGACTTTTTAAAACAAACAAAACATATTGACTATATCTTAAACCAGGTGAAAGTTATTTCAATTTTCCTGCATGAAAATCATGTTTTGAGAAAAATACTAAAGGAGTTTTAGAAATGAATTTTGTCATTGAAATCCAGAAAAAAAGTCATATGAGAATTGCATATTTTTTAACATATTTCAGTGGATTGTTTTAAAACACGTAACAGAGAAGGATATCTCACGCCATCTATCATGCTGATTAATATTAAAATGTTCTATTCAATGCTAATACAAGTGACAATGCAGTTTTTCCAAAACAGAAAAACTCTAAAAAAAAAAGAACCACAAAACTTTCTCTGAAAACATGATAATAGAGTCGAAGTTTGTTGTGATAAGTCTGTAAGCCTCTGGTCATTTTGCGAAAAGCCACATCTATATTCTGAAATAGGAAGTTTCGGTACATCTTCCTATAATAAAAACTCAACTTCAATACTTTTTCGAAAAATTGAGTTTTCTGAGGGAACGTTCTCTTAAGTAAACGAATGGATGAAAAATGTGTCCAAAAGTACATAGAACTTGTGATTAACAACAGCAGTTACATCGTGCTTCATATTTTAATCTCGTGGGAATTGTGCTAACAGCTGTGTTTTTGTTTTCGAATATGATTTATTCAATAAAAATATAACATGTTTATAAATCTACAATGTACACATCAAAATAGTGTCAAGAGGATATTATAAGTTCTAAAATAATTTTTCAATATTTATTATTCTTCCATGTAGTATAAGCAAATCTTTCGAAATTTAGATAGATTATTGAATCAATAATGACTTGCGTCAATTATTAGCGAACGTCTATCAACCAAAAAAATCAGTTATTCGTACACGACTATTGATTATTCTGATTTATTAATATTTTATTTGAGTATTAAAAATAACTTACTAATTGTATTCAATGAAAATTTTGCAATATCTTCATTTTTATTATAAAGTCCATCATTTAAAATAACAGGTAAAACTTGTTCAAGTACATATCTTCCACGTACTTTATGTTCTTCTTCACTCATACTAAATCAATTTAATAAATAAATAAAAATTCTTAAAAACAAAAAAACAAAAAAATCTTACGAATTTGATATCGTTGTAGCTGGATCACAAGCAAGTAATAAACAATTTTGTTTAAATGAATTAATTGTTGTTAATGCTGCTTTACGTACAGATTCTTTTGTATCATCACAAACAGCTAATAAACGACGAAATAATTCTTGAAATAATTTAATATATTGTTGATTATCAATTAATTTTCTATTTAACATTCGAAATATATCTAATAAAGCTAATTGTATACTTTCACGTATACGCCAACGTGTTGATAATATATCATTATATAAATCATTAAATATAATTGAAAAATATTTTTCAACAATAGTTATTTGTTTAGTTGAAGAAAATAATTTATTCCATATACGTTTTATACATTCTTGTATACGCATTTGTGGATCATATAATAGACGATAAAGTCTTGATATTAATTGTTCAATATAAATAAATATAAAATCAATAGATTTTTTTTCATAATCATTTTTATGAAATATTTGTCCATAACGTGTTGTTGACCATATAGAATTTTCATGTGCTAAATAAAGAAATGAATAAAATAATTGAGATTTAAAATTTTTTTCTATTGATAATAAGTCAACTAATGAACATAATTCTTTATAAAATATTGTTTGTGTATTATCTATATTTATTTGTTGTGTATTATGTTCATAAATCATTGTTGTTAATTGATTTGAATATGTACGTGTATTATCAGTAAAATATTCAAATAATTTATTATTAAATTTTGATTCTAATTCATTATTTTCAATTATTTCATATATATAAATAAGACATTTACATGATAATTCTTGATTAAATTCATCTTGATCAAGTAAACCATAAATAAGATTTGTTTGTAATGAAAATAATTTTAATTCAAATAATGAACGATATATTGATATTAAATATGGTCGACGACAATGTATAAGAAATGTTAATAACCATAAAAATGCTGCTTGTCTACTATGTGAATTATTTATATCAGATGAATAATATAGAATACGATCAATAAGATATTTTATTAAATCAGATCGAAATTCATATTCATCTTTTGATATTTTATTATTAGATAAAGATTTTTGATTAAAAATATCATAAGGATCATTAACCAATGGTGTATCACCACCAAGAATACAACATACAAGAGCATCACCTAAAAGTTAAAATATAAGATAAGAATATGACTCATTGAATATTATACAATATCTTTATATAGACCATCCTTAGGTAAAACAGAATATACTCGCCTTTTATTTGACCTTGATTGTTTACAAGGACTAATGACCTGAATAAGTTCTTTTAGCCTAAATATATGTGGATCTTTCAGCTGACTATTAGTTAAAAGGTAATCAGCCAATGTTTCTCTAATCACATGAGTTTTCAGCAAGATCGAACTTCAAAAACCGATTTTCTAGAGATTCGAACAAGTCTCGAAATAAAAAAATGTTTGTTTTATCATTATCTAAAGATTCTTAAGAAGAATTATTACTGTTTAGAATTGGTTTTGAATTTTTCATTCGGTTATTAGGGAATTTTTTCGTTTGTATATTCGTACTTCGTCACGTTGCTAAGGAAAAGTAAATAAATTCTTTTGAAAAATTTAGATATGGTCAGAAAAAAAATTTTGGACAGAAGTTTGATAGTCTCAGGAGTTATCTATAGAATGTACGATTTAGTTGTTTAAAATGCTCCTTCAATTCGAAGTTTCTTGAAATTAAAATGCATGAAGTGAAACTCGATGTTCTTTTTTGTGTCACTTCAGTAACACTAGTTTTTTACTGATTAGTCTTTTGAACAATGATCTCTAACGCTGTGTTTTTTAAGGTATCTAGAGTAACTTAACATATATGTGACATATGAAAATTAACTCCAGAAAAGTTCATTATTTCGAGACACACGTGTTTTAGTTTTGTGAAGTCATGTTGCTAACGAATAGTTTGGCTTGTACATTTACATATATGGACAATGTCATTCGTTGTTGACGTGATTTTATAAAACAAAAATGCATATATCTCTAGACTAGAGCATTTCTTCTAGCTGTTTTTTATGTAACAGATGAATGTTAAGTCACTCTAGATACACTGAAAAAACTTAGCTCTATAGGTTTTAGTTTGGTGGAGTGAGTATTAAAAAACCAGCGTTGGCAACATGACACAAAATAAGAACAAAATTTTTCATTGTGTGTGTTTTGTAGAGGACTCTTCAGGTTACAAAATCTCTACAGAAAGTTTTTCCTGAACATGTTTAGATGTTTTCAAAGAATTAAATTTATTCATTGTTATTGAGGGTGCGTGAGTACAAACAAAGAAGCGAAATATTATCTTATAACGGATTGAGAACTCCAAAAACTATTCTGAATGGTAAAAATCCTTCTTGGAGACCTCACGGTTATAGTAAAAAACAAAAAAATATATTCAGGTACAAGAGCAGATTTCTGAAAAACCGACTTTGAGAAGTCAAGTCTTTGAAATCTATTGCGACATTCTTGGACTCTTCTCTGATAAGTCTAGAACGTTATTTGCTTATTACACTTTAATTGATAAACTAATTAAGTCTAACCCTTGGAATATGGAATTATTTTTTGAACAAGAATGAAAATTTTTGAAAGGCGAAATAAACAGTTTTAATATTGTGAAATGCACTGTTTAAAATAATGTTTCGCAATTGGTTTGGCAAGGTCGTCACTGTTTCTCTAATGTTTTTTTTTTAAACTAATCCATATGAAAAATTATAAAATCGCACCTGAATTGGTTCTAATTAGAAATAAGCACTTACTATTACTTTCAAAGATGTACCTATCGCTTAACGTGAACAGAGTCACATGTGCTATATATCAAAGGAAAGAGAACATAATTTGACGAAGAAATAATTAGTTTAATACGAAAAATATCAATATTTCGAGATATGCAATTTTAAAAGTAACAATAACTACTCGTACGTATTTAAATTGTAGGGGAAAATCTATACTAACAAGTGAGTACAGCTGATGTTGAACAGACAAATTTCATAACACTTCATTGAATATCCATGTCGCACATTTATTCGCACTACTGCCAGTATAACGCGGTATTCATAAGAACTGACAATATACTGGCAATAGATTACCGGTCTGAGAACATCTATCGGTATGCCGCTGTAGAATGACAGTCAGAGGATAGCCAATCGTTTCAGTGTCAAACTACCAGCATTTAATCGACTAGAGCCTGTCGAGTCTAAAATTTTCAGAATCAGGCCCGTTTAGGTCCAGGATCAACCCGACGGCTTTTGTCTGGGCCGAGTCGCATAGATAATCAATACATAATATTTATAAAAACTATTCCGAGTGTAAAATTTCAGGATGCGAATTTGCATCATCTTCACTCAAAGGGTTAGTTAGGTGTAAGCTGAAAGAACCAATATTTTAACATATATACATAGGCAAATGACTTATTCAAAAATATAGGTCTTATAAAGAATCAAACTCAAATCGAGGATGGTTATGTCCCATTTTTGCTAATTTGGCTTATATATATATATATATACATTTTTTCTTACCAATATTAAGTTGAAGTTCAATTTGTTTTGTTTCAACAAGTGATTGTGTTAAAATATCAATAATATTTTGACTTAGTTCTCTATAACAAACAGCTAAAAATCCTAATGTTTGTATAGCTTTTTCTTTAATTCGATTTGTTTCATTAATTGTTTTTATTTTAATTTGAATTTTTTCAATAAAATTTTTTATATTTAATTCATCATCATTATTAAAACAATTCATTCGTGCTAGTTGTCCAATTGATATTAATAATGATAAAATATATTCATTTTGATTATCAAAAAAAATTTTTAAAAGAAGATTTTTTCCATAATTTAAATATTTATTTGATTTATCTAAATATGAACAAATATAACCTAATGCAAGTATACTTGCTTCACGTTGTTCAAAACGTTGATTTATATTTTGTATAATTTTAATTAATTCATCAATAGCTAATAAATTTGTTGGATTTTTTGATAATACATATGCATATAATAATGATGAATATCGACGTGTATCATCACGTGTTGAAAAAAGACATAATTGACGAAATGAACTTAAATTATCATTAAATAATTCAATTAATTTATTATCATTTAAATGATAACCAATAATAATAGCTTCAAATAAAAAATATGTTGATAAACAATCATGTATAATAAGTACAAAATCAAGTAAAAATTGTATATAATTATACCAAATTGTTGTATTTTGTTTTGCTATATCATATACATATAATAATTGTTCTTCATATTTCCATAATGGTGTTGTTTTTTCACCATTAAAACTTTGTCGTATTAAACAACGATGTAGATAATAAATCATTTCTTGATATGTTTGAGGATGATAAATTAATGTTTGTCTATCTATTGAAGAATTTTTATTAATATTTGATAAAATTAATTTAAGTAATAATTGAAAATCAGGATAATTATTATCTTGTTCAGTAAATAAATTTCGACGAGCTAATGAACGTATATCTTCATTTTTATCTGAACATGCAGTTAGAAGAATAAAACGTGATGTACAATCATTCGATGGAAATACGTCCATTACATATGATACAGCTGCTTGACGACATTGTGGATAATCAACTGATTGAGATTCAGCAGTTGAACTAGGCATTACTTGTTGAGTTAATAATTGTTGAAGCATATGTTTACTTGATACACTTGCATCTTTTTGAGCATATGCTAAGAGACTAAAAAAAAACAAAAAACAATAGTGTTGTTTTTTTCTAAGGAGCCTAAAGAAATTTGAAAACATTGAATTAGAATAAGAATTTTATATTCTTTTCAAATATAGGTTCAAAATTTTTGTAGGCCTTCTGATTTAGCTGTTATGAACCGATCTTTTAGAAGCTTGTAAATTAAGTTTGGTCAGAGAAAATTTGACGTTCGTTGTTACTATAATCTTCTTTACTACATACAGTATATTACTAATTTTAGTTTTACATAAAATTAAAAGCAAAGTTGTTCTCTACAGAGTGATATAAAAACCAAGAGTTTGAGAATCATCATTCAAGAATGACCGAGCTCAATTTGCAAATCGGTTTTCCATCGAAATCGAGAATATTGCCTAAATTGATACAGTGTTCCTTATTAAAAGATTTCCTGTTAACAAATGACTTAAAGATAACTAATCATTAATTTACCATTTTATTGATAAATATTTGTTCGTACATTCACTGTATTTGAAATAAGTTTTGCTTCTACTTTGGGTAACTTTTGACGCGCTAAAGTTGGTTTAAACTTAATTTTGAGGGCCTCAAAAAAGTCGCTTTATAACTCATTCTATAAAAATTTTCTCTAGATGAGACAAATCATTGACAACTATAATCTTTAGTTTCAATTGAGACAACTTTTTACTCGTAGTTCCAGTCTCGCACGTTTCCAATCATGATGAATTATTGCGGTATTTTGTACAAATTTCCTTTTAACTCTCTCAAAACTGATTAAAATAAATCCAGAACATTTTTAACTTTGATTATTTTGAAGATTTTCCTGATTTATCATGTTAGAAAAAAATTCTAGTTTTTATGATTTTCTTTTGTGCCAAAATAAATACAAAATAGGTTTTATTAAAAACATTTTTTGTTGCTTTCAGTAGAATGGAAACTGGTAATTTCTCACATAGATTTGTTCTCAGTTTTTTAAGAGTTCATCAGAATAAGTCAAAAAGTTTTTTTAAATACACTTGTTGTAAAGAATTTCATAATGTATCTTTTGAAAAAAATATTTAAGATTTTATCATTTGTATATGAGAAGGTATATGCAAAATAGAATGCGTTGCAAACATTTTGAATCACTCCGTATATTGACCAAAGAAGAATCAACTTGAGCACACAATAATGTATAACTCACAAAGGAAGTCCTTCAATTGATTAATCACTTTTGACTGTGACTATATGTATTATGTACACCCTAATGAATGTTCTGAAAAGAGTTCGAGGTCTCAGCTTAATGTTGCAGTGATACTGCAACAATACGGTATATTTTAATTCCATGCTGTGGTCTCTCTTAGGAAAAATTCATTTTTCGAATTCTGATTTGAAACTTTATACAGAGACTAGTCTTAACAAAAACAGGCTATTGTGAAAGTTTCAGGTCTTCATATCTTGAAATAAGAACACCATTATTAGATCTTCAATATAATGACATAGAAATTTTCATCATTGTCTTGTCTTCAAATTTGTCCTTTTTACAAATAGTGTTATCAAACGATTAACTGAACATAATTGTATATCACATAGTAGAAGAAAAAAAAGTTTGATTATTTAAACTTCTTGATAAATTAAAGATTATCATTATCAAATAAATGTATTATTCAAATAGATCTACCAATCAAGAAAACTCCAATATTCTGATTTATATTAACTAAATCATATCATTTCTATAGTAAATTAGGTTTAACTTTATGATCGGTATTTCTTCTAATATTTACGATGTTTATTCACTTTTATTAAATATTTTTCTACATACGTTAGAGCTTCTTGAATATTTAAACAACATTCATTATCTTCTGTTTTTAATGCTTCAAAAAATTGTTGTGTTAATCTAATATCATCAGAAAATAATTTTGGTACACGATATGAAAGTTTACCAATTAAAACATATGTTAAACTTCTTAAACGAGATGCATCATGTGTTTTATTTGTTTCTGTATTAAGAATTTTTTCAAATGCATGTAATATTAATTTTGATACACCAACAAGACTATTCAATTCCGCACTGAAAAAAAATATTTAGACAAAAAAAGAATATCAGTAAGGAAAAAAAAAAAGAACTTCTTTTTTAAAATAGAATATACTTTTGTATCATATTTTGTGCAAATTGTAATGAAAAATATTTAATACGAATATTTGTTGAATTACCAAAAAGACTTTCATAAAGAACCTAAATTAAATCAAAATAACTGTTTAATCATATAAAATAGTCTTCTTTTTTTGTTTTACTTGAATCGCATGTGGAAAAATTGTACTAGCTGTTCGTGACTTAAGTAAATAAGGATAAAGTTTTAAACGTATTCGAGTATTTGATGGATTACGAATCAGTTCTTCATTCTAAAATATGAAATGTGTAATCGGTTTTTTTGTTTTAAATTACAATAAAGTGCAAAAGTCCTTGTCTTCGAATGCAAAACAGTTTGATGAACGAGATGGACACATATCGATGTGGAAGATATAGCACTAGCTTGAATGAATTGGTTAAGGAAAATACTTATGAGAGAACTACCCCAACTGATGCCCACCGTTTATGTTCATATTCGACCCATAGATAGGTCTCACTGAGACTAGCAAAATCCTAAAAGAGCTCACCTCTATGAGCCTTTGCCGCTGAGGTATGATTAGTTTACTGAGGTTTCGATTTATTTTTAGGTACTATCCGAAACACTGAATAACGGAGTTTTGATCCAAAATTTTACCTATGGATAGGTCTAATGACTTTTAGAATATCTTGAAAGTTTTAACTAAAATTAATATTATCTCGTTCAGATATGGAATTTCCAAAAATAGTGATGTATCACAAAAATTGGCTTCATCTGACAATTCAATAACTAGACGAAAGAACATTCATTTCAGCTGAAACTTCCAAGATATTCTAAAGGTCATCGAATTAATGGATGGGCAAGATTTCATGTCAAAATATTGCTTTTTGATTTTTTGGCTTATACTTAAAGCTTAGTCGCAAAATTGAGTAAAATAGAGATAAATCGGCTTCAGAAGTCCATGAAGACGAACACTTTTAAACTTTTGCTAATCGTACCAAGACGTTCTTGTAGGCGCAATATGAACTCATTCAGTGGGAATCAGTTCGGGTAGTTTCCTTATTAGCTCTATGCAATGCAAATGTTAGTATGTGAAAATGAGTGTTGCAAAATCAGCTTGTTCATTCTAAATCGTTTGTTAAAATCACAATGATTAGCTTTGATTAATTTGTAAGGAAAAAGAATCATATATTAATTGTACTACTTCTGTATCTTGTACTATGTCTCATTTGTGAATATGATTAATTTTTATATTCATCGTGAGAAGTAGTTGAAACACTGGAGGACAAAGACTTTTGCATCTTAATGTGCATCTTAAATTTACCTGTTGTTTAATTGTTTTTGATGTTCCTAAAAAGAATTCAAATAAACTTTGTACATGTTGCATTGAATTCCAATCAACAGCAACTGTTAAACGTTTTATATCATGTTCTGCAGCTAAAACAACACTAAATTAAAAAAAAAACAAAAAATACTTTTCGTTGTGTATTATATATACACTTAGCGTACCTACGAGTATCTTGAATCAGCTGTTGCTAATACAAAATGAAATATGATATCATTTTCTGAATAAATATTTCCATTGAGAAATTTTAATATTGCAACTTTAAGCTAAATTAATAAAATAGATATTAATTAAATATGATTCTTCTTCTATCTTTTTTCTTTTTTACTTTTTCAACTTGATTTAAATCATCGGTTTGTATAGCTTCAGTTATTCGATTATATAATTGTTCATTCATACATGGATATGGTTGTTTAAATACTTCAACTTCTTTACTTGGTGCATCATCCATTGTTGAAAAAAGTACTTCATCAATAGGTGCTTGAGAAGGTTCAATATATGATCGTTGTTGAGTAGTTCGAGTCGTATTTCGAGGTTTAGTCTCTTCAAATCTGTAAATAGAAAAATATTAATGTTTTTTTTCTCAATTATGTTGATTTAAAGCCCCATCCTTCAAAAAAAAGTCAATTTTCGTCAAACAAATCCAAATTAAGATAAATGCATGAGAAGACAGCTCGAACTCCGATTTTTTTATTTGGTGTCTCATTTTTTTTTACCCAAAATTCACTTCCTACTTAAAAAATATGCTTTTCTCAGAAAAGTCTTTTCCGTTTTTTTTTTTTTTGTTTATGCTTTCTAGAATTCTCGAAGGAGCTTTATTGTAGCCGATTGCTGTTTGTTTTATTTGAAAGAATATGTGCAGCTTCTTTTTAGGAAACACGTTCTAAAAAGAGAGTTGAAGTGCATAGGTTAGAAATCTGCACCTGCCTACAGACTGTGACAGAAGTTCATGAAAGATCATATATCAATAACATATCGTTATAATATACGAACTATTTTCTTATTGCATTTCTAGAGAATTAACTAAAAGAATGGTGAAGAAATGTGGGCCAAATTACATCCAATCTCCCTGTAATTAACAACATCAACTATATCGTGTTTCATATTTTAATCCCACAGTGATTGCTCTAACCGATTTGGTATTATTAATTAAAATAAACACTTCTATAAATGGATAACCATTTTTCAAAGTATTAAACCTGTAATCCTTTTTCTCTCCATGAAAAGTAAGGGTTTTTTAAAAAAAAAGGCAGTGCAGTCTGATATGCTCTTTCAAATACAAAAATTAAATCCATAGAGTGAAGTCTCACAGAAAATTTTGAGTTGCCAAACGAATTATTATTAAGGGTTGCTTGTTGAATATCTCCCGAAAACGTGATGATATAGAACTGAAAATTTTACTACAGTCTCTTCGCTGCCTCTCTAAGATATCCTGTGAATTTCATGCGATTTGAATACATTTGGTTGAAGGTCAACTTTTTCGAGTTGAAGCTTTAAAGTTAGAAAAAATGTTTTTTTAACGAACTTGTAAGGTAAAAGAATAACATTAAGAAGAAAATTAAGAAATAAATTTCGAATTATTGGTTGATCAGTAAGACCATATTTAATAATATTTTCATTCATATTTGGAATAATTTTAATATGTTGTAAAGCATAAACAATGAGACCCATAAGTAATTCTTGATGAGAAATTGATCGATTTGTTAACGATTGAAAAAGAAGAGGTACTAATTCAACTTGATGATCAGGTTTTAAACGCATAAAACCCATTTTAATATACATTATAGAAAAATTCTAAAAAAAAAGAAAATTATTGAATAAAATATCTTCTAAAAGAGAAGAAAAAATGGTTACTTACAGAAGCAAATGGTGAACATTGTATTGATGTTGTAAATATTTCTAAAAGACTCTGGACTGGAATTTGAATTTCCGGTCGAGTTTTGACTCGTTTATTTATATGTATAAAAACTTCAACTACCTATGAAAATAAAAATACATTATATAATGAATATTACACGAGCCTGAAAAATGGAAAAATCTTATTTTAAACATAAAAGAAAAAGAAATCTTCAATAAGATATATTGGTTTTATTCTATAAAAAGATATATGTAATTAAATATCAAATCGAATCTAATCAAGGAAATGAAGAAAGGAATGCTAATCTCTTGGATTTTTTTTTTCGATAATTCGATGGTTCTCTAATGAAAACAATATCTTATCCTCAGATAATATTTTTAGCTAAACCAATAAATTATGTGAGTCTACTTTTTGTCGAAATAGTTAAGACATTTCTATTTTTTAATTAGAAAACATCATTGAGATCCATCAGGAATTTCTCATCTTTATAAGAAAGAACGAAAAAATTGTAAACTACAAGTATGATTATTCTTCTTTCTCAATATGATGAAATCATGTTGAAAGATGAATGCACATTTTAAAATCATTATGATTAATATATAGAACTTTCTAAAGAAATCTTTTATTTAAAATTTTAATTAACCATAATAAAACTAAAAACAACTTCGTTTTTTTTGCTTACTTTTTTTCTAAAATCATCTGTTTGTAATTCAATACTTCGAATAAGTATTGGTAAAAATGTTTTAATCAATTCTTGAAATTGGTAATCATCACCACAAGAAATCAATTGAATAAAATATCGATTAAGTGAACCTTTGAATAATATATTCATAAATACATATATATAAGAAATAAATTCTTACTTATATCAAGCGGATAGGTTACATCATCATTCATATTGTCCATAGTAAAATTGTTATTTTGTACTTAAAAAAAGAGAAAAAAAAATATGACCGGCTTTAATCGCGTGTTTATGATTCATACTTTTTTCTAACAATTACCAATCAATGACAAGCATTACTCTCTATGCGTTTTTTTATCTAACTTAGATATATTTATTATTATAATCAAAAAAGTTTCCAAAATATTTTAGATAAATTTTTATTTTAAATTTTTATTTCCAATTTTTAACATTTTTCTCATTGGTAATTGAACGACAGAACACCAATAATAACAACAATAATAATAATATAAATGATTCTTGCTTTTTTTATCCTCATGTTTTTTTTCTTCTTTTCTTCGTCTATTGTCAAATTATTCTTGTTTATAGATATGGCTCATCGTGAAAATAGAGATCGTCGAACATTATATTGTGGAAATTTACATGAAAATGTAACTGAAGAAATGTTATTTGAACTTTTTCTTCAAGTAGGAATTTTTTTATTTTATTAATTGAAAAAAACATACAGGGAAATATAATCGTTGTTTCGTTTGTTTTATTAGAGTGGTCCTTTAGAAACGGTAACAATGAAACGTGATGGTCGTCGTTCATTTGCTTTTATTACATTTAAACATGAAGAATCCGTTCCATATGCTGAAGCTATTATGGAAAATGTTTGTTTATATAATCGTCCATTACGTTTAGCAGCTCGTTCATCAAACAAAGATTTTAATAATAATCCAAATGAACCTTATACACCAGAAATATATGTTAATGATTCATTATTACATCGTTCAGCATCATGGCAATCACCACAACCACAACAACAGCAACAACAACAACAACCATTACCAGTACCACTTTTTTCTAATAATGATATTAATTATTCACCACAATCACATTATTCACATGAAGATCGAATGTCAACACCAAGATTTGATCGTCGAAAACAAAATTCTTATCATCCATATAATAGAAATGAGCAAGATTATCAAAATACGAAACAACGTAATGGAAATTATAATCAACAACGAAGAGGAGGGGGAGGAGGAGGAAGTGGATATAATAATTATTACCGTTAGGAAAGAGATAAATAAAAATATTTCTATTTATCAATATATTATATTATTTTGTATGTACATATAGATTTATTTGTTTCTTTTTTTTTCTTGTCTTGTGAAAAATTCTTCTTTTTTTTGTCGAACGATATGGATTGACAAATCGATGTGAAGAAAAAAAAAAAGAACGAGAGAGACAGGCAATGATGGATGAAAACTATAAACAAAACTATGAAGGACAAGATGAATCCTTTATGATTATTTGAAAACAACATTGCTTTATTTGTTTTTTTTTTAGATATTTTTTTTTTTGTTGAAATATTATTTTCATTGGGACATATCGAACAGAGAAATATTTATTAAGTATATGAAGAGAATATCAGAGAGAAGATAGGAGTTACTTTTTTCTTTCCTCAAATAGATGAGATTTTCTTATAATGCTTCGTTCCTATGCACAAACAAAGTTGAAAAATTATTAATTGAACTATGAAGTGGTTTTCGTACGATAACTCCGATCTAGTGATATTATTTGGGAAACAATTGACTGGACAAGAGCAGCATTGTATATATATATATATTTATTGGCTTATATGTAACTATTGATAAAAAACTAAACATGTTTTCTTTCCTCTTTTGATTACAATACTTCATTATGAATAAAGATATAAGATTTTTCATAAATTTGTTTACTAATGTATTACTTTTTTATCTTTGGTTATTTTTTACTTTTAGATTCATGTATATAATCGATCCCTTCATTATGATTATATTATTATTAATGACTATCTTATTCTATAGACAAGGTTAATCGAAGCAGCTAATTTAGAAAAATATTGCGTTTTTTTTTCTCGAAGAAGAAAAAAACGAAAATTTTGCATAATTAGGAAGGTATTATACATGTGGAACTTTCTCTCTCACATGAGAACATTCTCAGGTGTTCCCGTCATTTTGAGATAATATTTTACCCATTAGTAGGGCATGATAAACTATAAAAAGCCTTCAAAGGGTTTGCGTCCATGGACGCTTCTTACCTACTTTTGAATTGCTCGAGTATCGCTTGTATTCCGTGATAAAATTACGATGAAATTTCCAGAGGTTTTGAGATTTATAATCTGTGAACTTAAAGTTGCAATGTTGAAAAGTTTAGTATAATCTAATTACCATTAAGTTTACTCTCAAAAAGATTTATAATCTCCTACAGTTTAATAGTCACCAAATAGCATTTGATCGTTAGATTTACTAATATGATTATTTACATGTTCAAATATTTACTTCACAATACTTATTTTCCTATAAATTCATACGAATGTATAAAGGTGTTAGCATTATTATATACAAATTTATAAGTGTTTTGCATTAAGGTTTGAAAGACTTATTCTTCGAGTTAGACATGTGCAGGGTAAGCTTTTTTAGTATCCTATATCCCGTCCAATTGAAGTTGTTTTTTATTGTCTATTCTTGATGTAGTATAGTTTTTATGAAAAGCATCAGCAAGTAAAGTAGGATATAGTTGATAAAAAACATTCATTGCATCGTTTTTGAGAAATTATTTTGTCAAAATGATATAAGTGAATAAATCAGTATGACAGACAATAATGAATGAAAACAAGATTAATCTTTTATGATTTAAAAGTTTTTTTTTTTTAATTATTTTAGATATTTGTTTGCTGAACAAAATATTATATTGATTAACATGTGCTGAAAGTAAATATATTTCGATTAATTATGATATGAGCAAGATTAGATTTATCTACATTGATAATAACGAGCAAATTTTCTATATACAAAATATTCAAACATAATTTGATATTAAATAATGGTTTGTTGTAAATTTCAAGTTTTTTATTAAACAATTCTTGAAGGATGAAATTAATTTTGAAAAATGAAGACGAATGTTACTCGTACAATTGATCATTTTGTTGGTTATATATATGTATCAATATCAAATTTGTAGAACAATAAGATTATTAAATGTTATATATAAAAAAATATTTTATCATTATCACGTCTAAGAACTGATTGAATTATAACAGTGGAGAAAAGAAAAAGACTGAAAACATAAATCATTAACTCATGAAACGAATATTCTAATTCTAGTTGATATAATGATTAAAAAAAAAATTTTTCACGTGTGTTAATTAATTCCAAAACTAGTATGAAAAGTATCTATTCATTGTTGACAATGAAATTCAAACTATTTTTTTTATGATGTCCGATGTTCAAATATATATTTCAACAGGCTAACACATACCGATAATAAAATATTGTCTAAATGTATTTCGGTATTCATATTATATGTGACATCGAGCATTAATATTTGTTCATTTTTGCGTGTATCTGTTGACTATGTCGTGTTAATAACCTTCAATTTCTGTTTACCGACTACCGATTCAGTGCAGTTAGTGCATACTAATACTAGCATTCACTTAATCATTGAAACTCCACCGCTACGAAAAAAGGGCATATTTTGATAGAGTTGATATCTCAATGTAGCAGTGAACTGGAATGTCGGTCTAATCAGTGCCCTATGTTGGTGACTCCATGTTCAGTATTTACATCTACACTGCACATTCCTATGTTGTATATTTCTTTTCATGTTATGTTCTATGTCATTTAAAGTTACTAACGCTGCTCGTTAATTATACACATGGATTTTTCTTCGTTTTTCTCAATATTCTAATAGAAGATGTCATCCTAAGATTTATTAGTTTGTTCTTATAGAAAAATATTTTTAGATACGATATGGCAACAATAACTTATAGTGAAAGTATAAATATAGAACGAGAAAAAGCAAATTTACTTTGTTTAATTAAGTAAGTTTGTTTGTTTTTGTTGGATTTGATTTAAAAGCAAAATTTATACTTATTTAGATTGACATTGAATACATTAATTGATCAATCATTTTCAGCAACTTCATTACCGGTTTTGGATGATCGTAATATTGATGTGATTAATTTTATTGTAACACTTGAACGTGTTCTTGGTTTTCGTATGCGAGGTAACGAGAAAAATAAATACATATTTGAATGAGAAAATTTTTTTTTTTTTGTTATTCTAATAGCGACTTGGTTATCAGAACGACATTATTTTTGGGATTTTATCCGACCAGCATGTATTGGTTCTTGTCGACAGTCTAGTGAGTAACATAATCAAGAAGATTATGCTTATTTATTTCATTTTTTAGTCATTGAACGTGTAGAAGAAATATCAAATACGGGTAGTTTAAAAGAGAAGGTATTATACAAATAAATGATTGATGTTGTTTTCGTCAAGAGAAAAGAGAATTATCCGTAGGACATTAAAAAGAATTGTACTATTCAAAGAGAAATGAAACTCATAAAGATAATGATTGTTTTTTTCTGATAAGATTCAACTATTAATTTTGCTATTTATTAATTAACAAATTTACTCTGCAGCAACCATTGGATTGAGTAACGCTTTTTTTTTGTTGTATATATGGAAATGGATGTAAATCACTTTGTATAAAAGTTTGAATTTAGTCGAATATCAAAATAATATGACTCAATTTTAGTAAATAAATATATGTGTCAGGCAAAGTTGAAATTTAGATAAAATTAAACAGAATTTTTGAAAGATCGAAATGCAAAAAAATCGAAAAAAGAATTAATATAAATATTTATATTAAGTTATTAGAGATATCCCAAGGCCGCCAGAATTAGAGGAGGTCGATGGCTCAGGAGGTTGATTAGAAGATTTTTGCTAAAGTAGAGTGGACTTGAGAGAATTGTGCGAGTTTTTTTTGAGACTTGATAAACAAAAAAAATCTAATAAAATACTGGAATTCCGCTAGAGGAAGACGAAAATTTTCAAGATTGTGGAGCACCCTGTTGACCCACTCCCACTCGAGACATTCCTGTAAGTTATGTTTAACTTTAATTAAAGTCTAGTTGAATCAAATTAGTTGTCAAATTCGCGAGTGTTCTCAATTGAAATCTAGCTTGTCTGAGCCAGCACCAAAAAAAAAAGAAAGAGAAGACCTTTAAGCTTATCTTTATTTAAGTAGTATTTTTTTTATCAACGTTTATTTGTCTTCAAATTTGACCTTGTTCATAGATAATATTTTAACTATGCATGCGATATCTTGTTAAGTTTTATTGAGTTACGTTCTCACCAAAAATAATGAAGGACGTTTTTGTTTGTATTCCTTGCGGTAGAATAATAAGTGTCTCGTCTCAAAACGTGATATTAAAAAAATAAATATGGGGATTTACTTGTTCATAAACATACTTTCGAACATCATTTTCTGATGTCGATGTAGAAGTCATTCGTGTATAAATTAAACTATGAATAGTAAGAATCAATATTCTGTCTACTTTAAATAACAAATACATGTTTTGGCCTATTAATGGAAATAAAAATTAGGATTTAGTTTTTTTTTAAGAAATTCTTTTCGCATGAATATATGCTAAAATATTGACTCTTTCAGCATATCCCCAATTAAAATGTAATTAGCGAATAACTTTCTAACCTTCTGACAAATAAATCCAAGAACTTCAGAATAGACTCCATACCATAAACTATATCTATGATAAAAGTATTAGCAAAATCGAACTCCAAAACTCGCCTCTTCAAGATCAATTTTCCAGAACAAGGTCTTTTGTTTTGTACTCATCTTGTGATTGTCCTAAAAGGGCTTGTACTATTTGGAATGGGTTTTTGATATTTCTCATTCAGTTACAAGAGGATTTTTTCCGTTCTTTAATATGTAATCATGCATATTTTTAACAACGAATAAATTCAATTTATTGAAAAAACTTGAGCATGTCCAGGAACAACTCTGCATAGAAATTTTGTAACGTTAAGAGTTGTCTATAAAACTCACTCTTTAGTCTATAGAAATACTGTTGAACTTGTACGATTAATAAATGGAAATGCACATAGTGAAAATGTTTACTCTTTTTTTGTGTCACGTCGCTAGCGGTAGTTTCTGAGAATAACTGAACAAACATCTGTTACATAAGTCTAGCGATATAAGCATTTTTATTTTGTGGAATCACATCGGTAATGAATGAAATAGTCCTTATACTTTCTTAAACTAATTTTTCGACGAAATAATAATCTACAGTTTAATTTATTTCTGTTATATTCTAGGGTCGAGCATGGATCAAATTGGCATTAATGGAGAAACAACTTTCGGAACTTTTAAAACTCGTTATTTCTGATTGTCATCTTGTTCAGTATGTTAAACATATTAGCAAAAAATTTTCAAAAACTATAAATTTTTTTTCTTAGGAAATTCTATCACGATGATTCAATTATGATGTCATCACAAGCATTGATTCTATGTAATCAATTAGCTGGATTAAATACAATTGATTTTAGGTATTGAAATTACCTTTGTTTTTTTTTTGGTAGAAATAATTTACTTTTTATAGTTTTTGTTTTAAACAAGATACTCTAATAATTGCTCCTGTATTATTAAATGATGCTGAAATCGATGTAATTGATTTAACACCATTTTTATGTTTTAAATCAAGACAGTAAGAAATTTTCTTTTTTCAAAAATTAAAACAAAAAAAAGAACAATTAATTAAATCGAATTTTTAAAAGTATTCCACAATTACTTAAAAATCAAAATAGTAATGAAGAAAATAAACAATCATTACCAATTGTAGCAAGTATTAATGAATTTACATCATTAAATTCATCTGAATGTGAAATGGTACCATTGGATAAGTATAAACTTGAAGTTGAACAACGAGTAAATATTGATCGAAAATTTCATTTGATCAGAACTCTTCTTGTTTCTTTTTTGTGTTAGAAATATTTTGAAGAACTTCTACAACAGCGTGATCGTGAATTACAACAAATTAAAATTCGTTATGATACATTAAAAGGTGAACGTGAAAGTGAAATTATACAAATGGAAAATATTATACTTGAACTTCAACTTGAATTGTTTGTATAACAGAAAATTATTTATTTAAAATATTTTTATTTTTTATAATTAGACGAGCAGCTCGAGATGAAGCGGAACTTAAACATAAAAGATCTCAGCAACTAAGTTCAATAACACCGCTTAAAAGTCTTTCTGATTTTGATAATCGTAAAACAAACTCATCATCATCAACACTAACTACTGATTATAGTGAAAATGACGATAAGTAAGCATTTGAATTCCAAAAGACAATCATATATTCAATATTCATTAACATTAAATTAGTTGATGTTGAATCGAAAAGATAACATAATGATAATGATCATTTTATTTTTTTAGGCAAATGCGTTCGTTTGAAAGTTCATTGACAAGTACAGATAATAAAGTGAGTTTTAAGGTTATTCATTTTGTTTTTTTATCATAATTATTTATATTCTTTTTTTGCTTTTTATTATTCTAGAATTTAAATTTACCTATGGAAAATATTGATCAAAATCAATCCAATGATATTGTCCCTCTACCGTCTGAATGTTTAAATCATTCTATAACAAACATCCATCCAGATGATGGTCAATGTAAACTTGCTCATAAACTACCATCGAATATCGATAATGATAGTAATCAAACAGCTACTAAAGTCAAACCAATCTCAAGTCCAAATATGCTTTCATCATCAACATCTCTTTCAATTCCATCATCATCATCATCTAATGATGAAGATGAACAACAAGTGCAAACAGTAACAACAACTATTTTCAACGAAAACAAATTAATTAAAAATGAATCTATTCAATCTGAACCTGATGAAATAACAACTAAACAAATGCAGTCAATAGAAGAAGATAATATAATAGTTTAGTTTAGTATTATTCTATTTGTTTATCAGTGTTAATATATAATCATTTTCTGTTAACTATTTATATATATATATAATTTTAGTTGATGTTTTTTTAAATGTAAATGACGTCACTAAACGAGTAATGAATGAAAGTTTTATATTTAAACTATAAAAAGTCATATCGTACAGTTGTTATCTAAATTTTACATTTTATTTCTTTTTTATTATGACTATTTGTCGTAAATGTAATTGTTGAAGCGTAAAAATAGAAAGAGTGATAATCGTTCTTACAAATGATACTGATAATGCATCTAGGTCAAGAACAAAAAACAATAATCGTCCTCTACTTATTTTTTTTATGTTTGATTGCGAAATAAAACCCATCTATCCATCTATCTATATATATATATATATATGCACATATGTATAATGTTTCGTTCTTATTTTTCGTATTATTAGAGTAATAAAAAAACAAGAAACGTGTTGTTTATAAAAGCAAAAACATGTCGACACCGTTCGATACGATTGATGCTGCTAATCGTCATTTTGAACAACTTTTTAATGCTGGCAAAATTGATGAATTAGTTGAACTTTATACATCACAAGGAAAACTTTTACCACCTGATAAAAATACATATCAAGGACGTGAAGAAATTAAAAAATTTTGGCAAGGTGCTCGAGATGCTGGTGTTAATAATCTTCATCTTACAACGGGTACAGTTTTAGAAGCTGGACAAGATCGATTAATTGAAACAAGCTCTTATAAACATTCGTTAGATCGAGGTAATTATCAAGTTATATGGAAACGTGTTACTGAAGGAAAAAATGATTGGCAATTAGACATTGATATTTTTAATTGATTATTTCTTTTTCTTTTTTTAAATAAAAAGGTGATTCTTGTCATAAATGATAAGAAATATTTTATTTGTGTTTGGTTTCTTTTGAATGACTAATATTTCGACATATATTACCATTTTTGCAGTTTAGTTGTGAAATAAATATGAATAAGACCACATGATCAAAATAATTTTTACGTTTCTTGTTTCCTCTGGAAATAGAACACGAAAAAAAGTGAAAAAAAAACCATGACTTCATAGAAATTATTTCATACTTCGATAGAAATTTCATCATAAGAACGAAAGAAAAGTTATTTTTACCATGATGACTTGACATGCATCACCATTTGGTTCGTGATTTTTCTACGCGATAATTAAAACCTATACTTAATCATGTGAATTAGATAGATATAAAGATTTGTTAATATTTTCTTCTATCTGTAGATAGATGGAATTCGGTGCCGATCTAATTGATGATCGTGTATGGCTTGGAAGTCTTGCTGCAATGGAAAATACGATTGCACTTGACAGTCTTCATATCACACATATTTTAAGTTTAATTAACTCAGAACTACCAATCAATGAGAATGACAATATCATACGTAAACATATTCGTGTTGAAGATGATGAAACAACAGATTTGTTAACTGAATTTGATTCATGTTACGATTTTATAGACAAAGCTTTATCAGAAAATTCAACTAATAATGTACTCATACATTGTCTTGCTGGTTAGTTACAGAATATTTTTTTGACATTCAATAAATTTTCGTGTTTTATCCTTATTAGGTGTATCTCGTAGTGCTACAATTGCATGTATGTGGTTAATGCGTCGACATAAATTATCAGCTAATGATGCATTAAAACGACTAAAACTTGCACGTTCTAGTATTCATCCAAATATGAGTTTTGCAGCTCAATTGTATTTATTCGAACAAATGAACAATCAATTCGATGTTAATCATGGATTGTATAAAGAATTTCATTTCGAACGTGCTCGTGCTCTTTATATTGATCATGATACAGATATTGAAGGAATTGATAAAAAAAACGAACTTCGTCAACAATTTCGTAAAGCATTTACTCTACCGTATGGTCATGCTACATGTACTGAAACAGAAACATATATGTGTCGTCAATGTCAAAATGAATTATTTACTAATGCTGATTTGTCACGACATTCAGAAGGTGTTGGACTATACAATTGGTTTATGAAATATGGTAATGAAAAACTATTCAAATTATTATCTGAAGTAGAATGTCATCGAGAAGTGTTTACTCATTGTCTCAAATGGTTGATGATTCAAATAGATACACCTGAAAATTCTCATAGTGATTCTATTAAATGCCCGAAATGTTCCGTAATTATAGGAAATTATAATCTAAATGGTACAAAATGTTCATGTGGCAGATGGGTTATGCCAGCATTTCATTTCGATATCGATAAAATCGAACAAAAAACAGTTACTAAGATTAATATTGAAACAAAAAGTGTGTCATCATCATAAGAACAGTTGTTGTCCTTTTTTTTTGTAAAATTTAAAAAAATGCATCAATCAAACATTGTCTAGATATTTTTTTTGAATAATTAAATCAAGATTATACAACTCCTGTTTTATATGTGAAAAGCTTTCATTTTTACTATGAATCTGATCATTCATATTAAAGTATGGCTTGATATAGAAAAAGAAGAATTCAATCACAAGGTAAATATTTAATAGAATACTTAATAATAGTATAACACAATCGATAAAATGTCTTGATAAACCATTAGACAAATACAATTTCGAATTAATTTGAGAATCATTTAAGAGTATGCCCATTTATGACATTCACATGAACATGGACCAAAAGAGTCCATGAAACCAGGACCAAACCGATCTTGATAAAAGCGACAGTCATGACAATCATCACAATTTGGTTTGTGGCTATTTGATGATTGTGGTGACTTCGATTTTGATGATTTATCGCGTCCTAAATGATGATAATTCGTAGTCTTTAATTAATTCAACTAATTGAAAAGCTTTTATGCCAAGAAGCAGCTAGCATAGATTTCTTTTCTTTTTTTTTAGTGTTCTTGATACTCACTTTTTCTTGAATGCTCGCCGTGACTACGTGGTGATCTGCTTCTATGGCGTGAGGATCTATCAGATGAATCATCTGAATGTCTCGATGATTTTTTCTTTTTCTTTGAAGATTTCTCAGATGATTTTTTTCTATCTGAGGACTTGTCTGATGTTTTATTTGTATGTTCTGGAGATTTATTCGGTTTATCTAAGATTTTCTCAATTGAATCATCTGGTTGCGTTAAAGGCTGAAGAATACAATTATCATCAATTGTTAATGGAGGAAGAACAATTTGAATCTGTTGAAGTTTATCAAGATGTTGTTCTATTGAACGCATATTGTCTGAGAATGTATGAAAATCTTGTTGTGTACCACCTTTTTTTCTAATTAATTCTTTTAATTTATTATGCATCTCATTAAGTTGTTCTCGTTGTTTATCAGTTGTTTCATCGATAAATTCTCGACGTTTTTTTTCATAAAAAGTATCAACTAGTTTATAAGCTGTTTGTTTCCATTCATCAAGTTGTTTAAGACCAGACTGTTCACCATCATAAAAATTACTAAACCGATTTAATAAAACATTGATTTTATCAACAAATGGAAGAAGTTTTTCATTGCGTTGATTAGCATGTTCATTTAAATGATCAATACATAAATTTTTTTTACAACACTGACATAAAGCAAGAGACGCTAGCTCACATTTTTCAACAACACACGGTAACGACGATGGTGACGACATTTTTTCTTTGTATGCAGGTAATGAAATGAAACAGGAACAAATATTTATAAAAGAACGAGCAAGGTTTTTTCCTTCATAGCTAGTGGGTAACAAAGAACGAACGAAAAAGCTGCTTGTTAACAGAACAGCAAGGTAAAAAATTGAATTAACGAGAGTCATTTGAAAAGAAGAAAAATAAGAGAGGAGTTTTAATTTTTATTATATATATATATCTTGGACTGTAATTTATGTGGACAAACTTGATTTACATCAGTGAATACAGTCTCATTTGAATAATGTAATTTTCGGTTTGACTAGAACTGTAGTAATGTTTAATTCATTGGAATTTTCAGACAGAATATTTCGATATCATTGGGGAACCACAGGTTTTTCACCATCTTAAACAAATTGCCGTTGATAAAGGCAATTAAAATTGCGGTTCCGCATGCTTCTATAGAATTCATCACAGTGTGGTTGACTACAGCTTTTCTCGTCATATTAAAAATACAAAAGTACGATTTCAAAGAGTGAACCACGGTATTAGATACCTTGGCTTCTATAGATCTCGAATACAATGGTAACGATAATTTTGATTGTGGCTCAACACTAGTCGTATTGTCTAAGTCAAGATGTTGAGTGAAATCAAGGCTTGCTGTATCGCGATATCTCTGAGAGAATTCGTACTTTTTGGACACGAAAATATATCTAATATGCATTATTGTCTATCCAATTATTGCACACTGTATAGACGAAAGGTAAAAAGGTAGATTACGTCAGCTGCATATTTGCGTCTTTTGAAACAATAGTCTCCTATAGACTTCTATCAAAAGAGATATTAGTTGTGACAAAAGAAGCACTGACTATACAATCGAATGTATACCTTTTAAACAATTTCTATCGCGAAAAATAACACTAAACAATACGAAAAACTACCTTTAAAACACTTCTTTTTTTTAAGTAAGAAATGCAATATGTCTGTTCAATATTCGTTCCTAAAGTTGTGCTAATTGAGAAAACATTTGTATTAGGTAGAACTGAAATGGATCTAAGATATGGAAAAAAAACTCTCAGCAATTTTCCTATTTATATAGATAGGAAAACTGCCGAGAACTTTTTTCATACCTTATGAGATTGATGCCAATGGAAATTCATGTATTTAGATAAGATATATCACTCTTTTGACTAGGTATGGGCCATTTGTTCAACGCGATTTAATTCAATCAAGTATTAAGCAGCTTTATTGAACGCATAATATTAATAAGAAAAATCAACAGCCACCAATTTGTTTCTTACTATTAAATGTTAAAGAATCACTTAATACTTATTGTTCAGTTGAAGTTTTTCTGTTTAACACTTAATTCATTTGAGATCAAGTGATAACGTGATTATCGTGAGACAAAGACTATATAACTTCGATGTTTCCATCAAGGAAAGGCTGCCATTCAACAACAACAATATTTTGTACAATCTGACCAAAGGTTTTTCGGGTCGAAAAATCTGTATTCCCATGGTTTTTCTTCAACCAATCGAGTCTCAGCAAGTTTTCTCCGCCATTCTAAGAAAAAGCCATCGTTTTGGCCGTGTTGATTGGGAGACTGGCAGAGATAGTCTTATATATGGTTCGAAAAATACCATGTCTTATCCTTATTACAGTAGAGAGAAACGCTCCTGACATTTGATTGGTTGGTAAAAGTTATCTATTAGTCAATCAGGTTTCAGCAAGCACTTCCTTTATCAAGTCAGCACTCACCATGGGCTTATGTTAGCAGATGAGATTATATTATGATTGTGCCTTTATTGGGCAAGGCAAACTAATACTGAATGCTGACTGAATAAGAGAAAAACCCTTCGTCAAATCTAATTTGCTAAGAGAAAATAATGTTGAAATATGATTGGTTGAAAAAATACCATAGGACACGGATTTTTGGATCCGAAAAACCTTTGGTCAGACTGTGTAAAATATTGCTGGTTTTTGAACGGCAGCCTTCTCTTAACGAAAACATCGAAATTATATAGTATTTACCTCACGATAATCATGTAATCACTTGATCTTAAATTAATTACGTATTAAACAGAAAGATTTTCATTGAACAATAAATATTAAGTAAATCTTCAATATTTAATGTTAAGAAATTAATTGATGACTGTTTATCTTTTTTTTCATTTATATAAAGAGTTAAGTAAGAATTCTTAGCTTAATCATAAGTTAAGATAAATGCTCTAATCTTACTTAGGACGTTTTTTTGTACAAATTTGTTGACTAAAGCTAAGCATTTGTAAGGTGTTGATAATATTCACGTCTTGAGCTGGCATTACTAATCGAGTAAAGATTTCATTTATAACATTTGATTTTCACACTTTTATTTTCCTAATTAACAAATAGGTATTGTTGAACCAAATAATAATTCTCATTTCATGTTTGAATAGCAAATATTTTCATCTAAACTTCATACATATGTTACTTTTCATTAAGACCGACTTCGCAAATTTTCCACTTACCATTATTTTTATTCAAACTGATTTAGTGTTTGAAAATGACACATTAACCTAGTCTTATATAAAGAGAAAAATCACGTTCGACGACAATTAAGACAAGTATATTCGCAGCAACTCAACATAAAAAGGTCGTCACTCACGACAGATCGATATTCAAATACTCAATAGTTTAAAGTTTTCGTTGCAATCTATCAGACGTAACCGTTTTCTCAGTTGACAAGTGTCGAAGAACAAATATTTGACGATAACCTGCGTCAAACATCCTTGTGCTCATGGTCTATGTCTAAGTAGAGATCGATTCTGTTGATAAACAAGGATGAATTTCATGTTAGACGATAGATATTATTGAATTCCACCTGCCTAAACATACAAAAAACAACGACAAAAAAAAAAACGCTTGAAAGCGCTTAAAACATCTCGACCGTTTTCAAATGCCAATCGTGGTTCCAGATTGGCATCTACAAACATTCAAAAAAATGTGGCATGAAAACAATTACTTCTCACATAACCCAAAAATTTTGACGGTCTATGGGTTACAGAGTTTTTCTTGTTTCTACACCTACTTTTTGTAAACATTTCGAACACACAATCGAGAACCTCAATTAGCATTATGAAGTGTTTCGCTTTTTCGTGCATTTACACACTATTATTTTCTCTCTGTCCACCACTTTTCTGATTTTTTTCGATAATCTTTTTACTGTCAGAGCCATTCAAATCATGTCGATAATTGATACGTAGATAAACAGATTTATCTCTTTACTCAGTAACTTACATACCGAAACATATTACAATCTATATACCTATCTATGGATCTATTTTCTATCCGTGTATCTGCCTACTTACCTACCTAACTACCTATGTATCTATTGGCGATATATCTAAAATCATAACTATCAGCTTAACTAATTATCTATCCATACGTCTATCTAATTCATGTTTATTTCAGATTTAAGTGTACCTTAGCTTGTTTTAAATAAAAGAGCATGAGCTAGAGTTCGAGTTTTCAGCACTATCTGTAGCCGATCTTGCTCTGTCTTTTTACAAAGTCAATAACGAATTCTCTGATTTTTCGTGTTGGACACATGATCAGTTTTGAAGAAGACCACTATTCGACCTAGAGAAAATATAAGTTTCCAAGTGTAATATTTTGTCTAGAAAGATCAGTATTATTTCCATGTCAAGCAACACAAGATTGAGATAACTAACTATTATTGTTCAACAGGTATAAAGATTTTATTGGAAACCTTACATGATAGTTTTTCAAAACTTGAAGTTATAAGAAATCTTTCTAAGTATTATATCACAATTGGAAATACATTTTCATCCCGACCGGATGGAGATCAGCTTCAAAACTCACCACATGTTCAATAAGAAAAGCAACAGAATTTTCTGCTGATTGTAGACAGTATTGGACACCCATAAACAGTTTTAGTTCTTGCTGCTTTACAGCTATTCAAAAAATGCCTGCTGCCACCTAACTCTGTGATAGATAATAGTTATCTATTTAAATATCTGTCAAGCTTATTATCTAACTACTTATCTACTTACTGAACTATCGATCTAACTATGCATCTAAACATCTGATTTATTAAATGTCTACCTATCCATTACACTATGTAATTATCTAACTAGGTAGCTGGTAAACATAAATTTGATCGACAGATAAAATGTCTAAGTATAAAAATATTGCCAAAACGAGTAGGTCAAAGTCACGGCGAAGACAAATAACAACGTTTTTCTTCCATATATTTTATCATTCAACATTCTTACTTTCATTAGTCTACCTTCGATAGTTCTACTTTCGACATTAGTTGGACAAATCTATTTAGCTAGCCATTTAATAATCTAACTATCTATTTGTTGATCTATATATATGTATTTTAATTATATAAATATTTATGTAGCTATCTGTCTATCTATATATTTGTTCATCAAAAGCATAAAAAGATGCGTTAAAAAGAACATTCGTAATGTAAAAGTAGGGAACACACAACACAGAAGATGCTACATAAAAAAAGTCGGCAAATAGGGAATGTAACAGAGGAAATCGAATATCATGCAAATAGAAAAATAAAGCGGGAAGATTGTGACACTAGACGAAAGTTCAGAACGAATTACGATAATCCTTTTAAAAAAACACGTGAAAAAGTATCGAATTTCATGTTTGTTATGGGTTTTTCATTTCTTCTAGCTAAGAAAGAGCCCAAATCAAATGCAAGGATAAGAGAGAGATAGACATGAGAGAAAAAGAGAAAAAAAGATTTAAATAAAGACACTAGAATATTACCTTTGAAATATCTTCTCTTTCTTCTTTCTTCCACAGCCGATTATCATCAACATAAATATAAGAGAAAACGGAGTAAAATACGAAGATTGTTTTATATAATTAGATCAATAAAATTCCATGGCCGTGGGTTTGAATAGAAAAATAAAATGAAGAGAGATTAGATATAATAAATAACGTGAATTGTATATCTCATACATGTTGTCATTATTATCAGAAACTCGATAGATGAGTATGAAAT